GTGTGTGTGTGTGTGTGTGTGTGTGTGTATACCAGAGCAGGGATGACCAGAGGTATGAGGTGAGCAGCTTTGTAGCGTCTTGACTTCCTCACGGCAAATTTCTCAGTTGGGATCGATTTCCCTGCCAGGCGCTGTTTCAGCCCCTCTACCTGCCTGCGCACACACACACACACACACACATGCACACACACACATTATATACAGCCACTGATCATATTTAGAATCATTTAAATATTCATTACTGTACAATGTCTATGTAAAATAAATAAATATATGTAACCCTAACTTAACATGCAATCATTTGGTTATTTATTTATTATTGTTCAGCAGAAACAAGCGGTGAGCACATCACTGATTCATCATTTCTCTGTTGAATGTTCTTTTAAAGTTAAATATGTCGGCAGACTGACCTGAAGAGCTCCACAATGTCCTCCCCCGTCTTCTTCACCTCCTCCTCTGACATCATACTGAGGATGGCGGCCTTCTGGTACACATAGATGGCCTGGAGAGGGGAAAAAGTGGAGAAACTGGGATTGTCCCTCATCTAAAAACAACTCTTTCAACAAAGATCACAAGAAAATATTCATGAATCATTGCGAGTTTATATGAATCCTAAAAACTTCTGTCAGAAAGGTATTTGATCAATGCATCATGTGCTAATTTTCAGACACTCGACCTGGAGCTACAACTTTAATTTTCACATTAGGATAAACCTTTATGAAATGACCCTTTAATTGTCCAGAGGTGTTTTTTCTCCTCGCACGCTCTCGATGTCCTGAGGTTTGTGTATTCACCTTGGACCAGCGGCTCTCCTTGCACAGCAGGTCGGAGTAGCGGTACGCCTGCTCCCACTCCTGCTGGTACGTGTGAGTCCACATCAGCTCCCAGTAACAAAGATGGTGGATCTGCTTCCACTCCTGCTGGCTGCTGATACAATCCTCGTACCTGGCCCGGGCCTGAAACACACAAGGTACTATGTTGAGGCTGCTGCGGAGCGGACTGAAATAAAGGAACTTCATATTGAGAGAAGACATTTATTGGAAACTTTGGAAAGTGTGTGTGGGGTGCTATGTTTCAACGAAAGGTGTGTATTTGTTTTTCAGACCTTCTCGAAGTTTCCGTGCAGTGTGGCGATGCGCGCAGAGTAGAAGAGGATGATGGAGCCCTGAAGAATGGAGACGATCATTGTACAACTTCTTTAATGTTTCACTTTCAGTGTTTCTACCGTTAAAATTGTATTCAATGTGTAGTCGTGTACTCAGTTGACTTACTTTGGGGTATTTGTGTTGGTATGGCTCCAACAGAGCTTCAGCCTCCACCAGGTTCCCCTCCCCAGTTCCTTATCAAACACAACATTAACAATGTGACCTTCAGACATAATCACATTCACAAAAACTACCAGAGTTTTACTCCCAATATGAATTTATAAATAAAATGGTACAGCTATTAAGCCAGATGTTTCTGTTGCAGGTTAAATGTGTGAGGAAAGGATGGAGTGTGTGTGTGTTCGCACCAAGTATCAGTGAAACATATGTGTGGTAGAACAGCAGAGTCAGAGCGGAGAGGATCGCCCGCAGGCTGTGACCGGAGGCCCCCTCTCTCAACTGAGACAAACCAAAGTCCTGCAAGGAAACAGAAATAAATCTCTTGTTAATGAAAACCAAAGTCTCCATTCAGGAGGTTCACGATCATGATGGGAGACTTTTACTCAGTGTTGGCAAGAAAATATTCCCACACACCATTATCAGTTATTAAAAGTCTTCAGGAAAATAATATAGAGGCTGAACTGACCCTGTTTCCTGAGAATCCAATAATCTCCAGCAACCTCAAAATCCTCTGAGGAAGGAGAGACAACATCTAAAGAGACAGACAGAGAATATGAACACATTATAATCACACTGATCATGTCAACTGATCACATTTTGACTTTAAACTGCATCTGAGAGAGTTTATATCTGTGATTCACCAACATGCTGATGACACACATCTAATCCTGGCAGAATATCAAGCAGTTACAAACCAAATCAAAGACTGAATCACATTAACAACAAAAAGTGAAACCTGTGATTCAGGCCGAGACGCTGATGAAAATATTATAACACAAAATATAAGTGAAACTATAGAAAGTATATAGAAAAAGATTAGATTAAACTCCTCCTGTGTGGGACGTCGAGGTGAACCAATCAAAGCAGTCGCTTTAAAACAACTCACCAGGTTGAAGGACCCAATGCCGAGCTTGACTCCGCCCTCAAACTGTCTGAACGAATCAGACTGGGCGGCAAGGCCCTGAGAGATATTCAGCATATTCTGACACTCTCTATTGGACGACATCAAACATACACGATTAGACTAAAACATCTGGTAACAGCTGCATTTACAACAGTGACAGTGTGTGACAGAAACAAAGTTTTCATGTTTAGCTGAACTCATATCAAGGCTTAGTGGACATCTATGAATCTACAGAAGAGTACGTTTAAAATAATCAA